AAAGCTGGCAGGATATTCGAAACTTTACTCATCGAAGAGGAACATACTCAATCAGTCATCTTGGCAGACTCCAACGGGTGCATGATTCGTATTCGAGTATTGTTTCCCTGTATTCCATTTTTTCGACTTGGACATTATATATTTGTACTTTTGCCTGTTATAATTGAAAAATAAATTCTTCAAAACCTTTCTTATACGGCAAAGCACCTAACGTAGTTACTGAAAAAAGACAGTGCACCTACTATGTCAGACTAGAAAGTAACATCGTCCATGCAATTTATGGGACTAGCAAGAAAAAAGAAAAAGTTATCAACAATTTTATTATTGAACTAGCAAGCAAGAAAAAGTTGCCGACCCTCAATGAGACAAGCCACCAAATCCGAAATCAATACTACCACCCTCCTCATTTCCCATCCATCAATGCGTCCCGCCCTCACGCAATCAAATCAAATTATTATGGGTTTTCCTATAGAGTGCCTTTATAAGAGATGAAAGAGATACAGAGAAATGAATAACTTATAGATACCTCTTGATTTGGATTAATTTCAGTGTATAATTCATTTCTCTCTGTCTCTCTCAACTCTTATATAGAGAGTTATAGAGTGACTATAGAAAAAACCGAATTATTATTACTAATCAAAATGCAAAAAATCATCACATACGATGCAACCACCATTGATTTCCCCTCAACCACTAACCCCCCAAAACCCAACCTTAAAAATAGCCGCGAACTGCTACCGATCCAAACTCCCCCTCTCTCCTCGTTCCCTTCGCCATTATGCCTCCTCTCACCAATTAACCAATCTTTAGGTCATCTCAGATCCCCCTTTTTCAAATTCTATCTCAATTTTCATAATTTTTTTCTTTAATTTTGTTTTTAAACACAGGATCGAACAATGGAGGAGGAGCCCAATGAAGAATCGACATCTAAAGTCGATAAAGATCACGATCCAGATCAAGAACCCGCCGNTCCCTCCGCGAGGTCTACAATGCCGACGATCTAAACTCGCCGTCGGATCCGGATCGGGCCAATAGCAGCATGGAACCTTCGTCCAATTCATCTCCGCGCGGTTTCTCGCCGTTGAAGTCGAGGCGGAAGCTGTCGATGTCGGATACGCCGCCGGAGATTCTGCATCTGGTGGATTCCGCTATCATGGGATCGGCCGAGAGCATCGAGATGCTGCGGGGTTTTGTGGCCGAAGCCGGAGACGAGGATTCGAGAGCGGTGGTTGATGCTCTGATTAGTACAATGGGAGGAGCTGAAGGGCTGGATGATGTTTTAGTGGACCCTGTTCCGAAAATTATGAAGAATACGACGGCGGCAGTGATTGCAGTAGACTTGATTACTTGGCTGCCTGGAGAAGGGGACTCAGGGACTCACATGTCGCCGAGGACTAGAATGGTTAAGGGTTTGCTCACGATATTGCGGTCGTGTGCACGTAATAGGGCAATGTGCACGGCTTCGGGGTTGCTGAGAATGCTCCTTGACACTGCAGAGAAGATGTTTGCGGAATGTTCTGGTGTGCAATTAGGTAGGCACTGGGATTTTACCCCTTTGTGTCAGTGTATTCAGGTTTTAGCTGGGCATTCTTTGAGTGTGATCGATTTGCATCATTGGCTTGGTGTGATTAATAGGAGTTTGATGACTGATTGGGCGTTACCGCTGGTAGTGACATTGGAGAAGGCAGTAGGTAGTAAAGAGGCTCGTGGGCCTGCAAATACCTTTGAATTTGATGGAGAGAGGTCGGGTCTAGTTTTCCCTGGGGAGACTCGGTGGCCATTTCCTAGTGGGTATGCCTTTGCTACATGGATCTATATGGAGTCATTTCAAGATGCTATTACTATGGCCGAGGATGGAGTTAAAATGCCTAGACTTTTTAGTTACCTTTTCAGTTTCTTATCATCGGATAATTATGGGGTTGAGGCCTACTTCCATGGCCAGTTCTTGGTGGTGGAGACTGGCGTTGGAAAGGGGAAGAAGGCTTCTATACACTTCTCTTATTTGTTTCAGCCGCGATGCTGGTATTTTGTAGGGATAGAACATGTTTGTAAGCAGGTTTTGTTAGGGAAGGAAGAAAGTGAGTTGAAGTTGTATGTGGATGGGAATTTGCACGAGACTCGGCCATTTGAATTTCCAAAGATATCGAAGCCATTGGCATGCCACTGTATAGGGACTAACCCACCACCCAAAATGGCTGGTTTACAGCGCCGGAGGAAGCAATGTCCTCTGTTTGCTGAGACGGGTCCTGTTTATATTTTCAAGGAACCAATCGGGCAGGAGAGAATGACACGGTTAGCTTCTAGGGGAGGAGATACTCTTCCTTCTTTTGTAAATGGTGCAGGTGTACCATGGTTGGCAGTGAATGAACATGTAAGGACTTTGGCAGAGGAGAGCGCGAAGTTGGATGCTGAGATTGGCGGGAGCTTGCACCTACTATATCACCCTAATTTGCTCAGCGGCAGGTCTTGTCCAGATGCATCACCTTCTGGTGTAGCAGGTAAGGTATTTCCTTAAACAAATGACAGCTTCTAGTGAGTGACTGTCCTAAACAAAACAGAATGGAGCCGACCCTCATTTTTTTGATAATTGCTTTGTTGTTGTTGTCGTCATGTTCTAATGGGTGATAAAACACATGGTTGTCGTCGAATGTGCTCTTTACGTATGTAATTATTTGATATCTGTTATTGAATTCACTTTTCTTCCTTCCTCTTTAAATTAATTCTTATTATTTTAGAAATAGTCATTTTTATTTTCGTTTAAAAAAACAACAAATAGATTTGTGCTACTCGAGACATCTAATGTTTTTTTGGAAAGTGCTTTTTTTTTGGCAAATGCGGCTACTGTATCATTGCCACACCACCAACAAAAATAATGTCCTGGGTATTCCCCTACTCTATCGGTCGGAACTGAATAGATCTGATCCTTAAGCTTCCATTCTTTTTGGCCTACACGAATCAAGAATCTGTTATTGGAATAATTAATCTATCTAGTTACAAAGCGGGGAGTTCGGTAGGACGGGGTTGGGGGACAGCATGGGCCAATACTGCTAGTCCCCATACTCTGGAAAGTTTTTCATGTATTCTATATTCTATATATATTAGACCTTTAATCCTGTGGAGCAGGCTTTTAAATTGGTCCAGGTAACGCAATTCAGGGAATAAAATCTCTTAAATAACAGCACAATTTTGAAAAGTAGTAGCTCTAAGGCATTGAGTGACAGCTTTGATGAGAGATAGCACATACAGTTGTCTAATATGTTTTTTCCTTTATTTAATATTTTTATATTCGTGATTGAATTCATTTTTGTTCTTTCTTTTCCTCTTCTGATAAAGTCCTATCATTCAAAAATTTTTTTATAACCAAATTTATTATTGTTAGAAAGAAATCACAGATGGATTCATAATATTTTAGACATTAAGAAATTATCGCATAAGTGTTTTTTTTGGGGTGCAAATTTGCCTATTGTTCAACATTGTATA